TATTGTTTACACAAATTGGGTCAGTTATATTTGTTTCTTTAAGAAATTCTGGTAAGTCACTTAGAAATAAGTTGAACAGGGTGGGGCTTAGCATACAACCTTGCTTAACCCCTTTGAAACAGTTAAATGGTTCGGTGATGAGCCCGTCTTTCTTGACGACAGAACTATCACCGTCATACATAGATTTTAACAGAGATAAAAAAGAGCCTTTAATTCCCGCATTTTCAACTTTAGAAAATAATAACTGTCTAGGAATACTGTCAAAAGCTTTCTTAAAATCTACAAAACAAGAAAAAAGCATGTTTTTACTCTTTTTAGGTTTACTTTTTACGAAGCGGTCAATAAGAGCTTTTAAAGTAAATATTCCGTCAATAGTGGAATGGTTTTTCTTAAAGCCTAATTGTTCATTTTTCAGGATATTATTTTTTACTAAAAAACCATATAGCCTTTGGTTTAGTACGGATGTAAATAATTTACTGAGTGTTGATAGCAAAGTGATGCCTCGATAATTCTCTATATTTGCTCTATCACCTTTTTTGTGGATAGGAATTATAAGGCCAACACGCCAGCGTTGCGGAAAATAGCCCGATCTAAGGATTTTATTAAATAAGACTGTTAACACGTTGGAAAGTGCAGGTTTTCCAATTTTAAAGATTTCATTTGGTATGTTGTCAATTCCAGCTGACTTATTAAATTTTAAATTATCGATTGCTTTTAGAATTTCGTCTGGAGTGATGTCGTAGTCTAGAGGACCAGGTTCATCATCTTTGCAGAAACAACCTGGAGTAGTCGAAATATCCAGATTTTCATTTTCCAAATTAAGTGTCTTAAAAAAGGAATGTATTTTATCAATTTCAATAGGACAAGACTGATTGGTCTGTTTTTTTTGAATATGGAAAATATTCTTCAGCTGTTTCCATAGTTTTTTTGAGTCATTCATATTTAAATTATTTATCTTCGATTCAAAAAAGCTTTTCTTTTTTTGTCTACACATATACTTGAAGCTCTTTTTCTTCCGGGACAAATGTTTTCTTAATATATGAGAGTTTCGCGGGTTTTTACAAATTCTTTTCCCTAATATTCTGAGGTTATACTTTTCAGTCCTACAAGATGCGTCAAACCAGCTTGGGTCTGCGTTAACAATATGGTTTTTGCCAGACTTGTAATAGGCCCCGGCTTTTATTAAAGCGTCAGTCAGAATATCTGTAAAGGAGCTAGTTAACTCTTCAATTTGAGTAGAATCATTGTTCGTGCTAGTTACACGGTTTTTAAAACTAGTAAGTTTACTTTCAAATAGGTCACTATTTAGTACTTCTAGCAAAGTTTTCTTAGCACTGTCATTTAGCTTTAAAGTCTTATGATTGGATGTCTTGCATTTGTAAGTCGCATCATAGCTTCTAGTGGAGCGATCAACTTTGATACTAAAGGAAATATGGCAGTGGTCAGATAGATCAGGAAGTAAACTGTTCACTTTTAGATATCTCACGTCAGGTATTAATACTTCATCAGAAATGACGTAGTCGACTAAACTACTGCCATTATACTGGTAGCACGTTTTTGCTCCCGCGTAATCACCGAGGACACGGCCATTCAAGATCCTTAACCTGTTTTCGACACATAAATCAATAATATTTCTACCACGAGAATCAATTTTGTTGCTGTCTTGCGAGTTTCTTATATTAGATTCATCAAAGACATAATCTTCCGGAAGATWTAAATATCTATCATCATCAAAAAGTATATAATCCTGTAAAAGACCAGTTCTCGCATTAAAGTCCCCTTGCAATATTATTGATCCTTTTGTTACAAAATTTAAGACCTCATTTTCAATATCCAAAATGAAATCTGCTGCTTGATTTCTTTCATAATTGCTGGGACTAAGATATACAGTACCTAAGTAGATATCTCTAGGTAGCCGAAAGAATTCCTTGCTGATTTTACACCAAAGAATGTTTTTACTTGGTGTAGGAATATATACAACCCCTTCTTTGATCCTTTGATGTATATAAATAGCAATGCCTCCAAAATATTAATCAATAACACCGTACCAGGGCAAAGGGGGGGGGGGGGCGTTTGATGGTAATAAATTAAATCGAGCAACCCAGCCTTCGATATGTTTTTACTTGGTCTCTCTTAGGGGTAGAATTNTACAATGAATTTTTATTAAATGAATTCACGCTACATCTGCTACAGTTTGAGAGGCATAGTAAAAAAGTTCGTTTTAGGAAAATGCGAAAACAAAGTGGAACACCCTTTTGAAAAATCCTGGAACCGGCACTGGAGCGACATGGTATTACTTTGTAAATCTATGATCGTGGAGGAAGCAAAGAAACAGAGCGTAATTTATTTCATTTGATTTGCGAGGGAGGGTAGTACAATTAACTTTTTTTTGACTTTTTGGCTCATTAATTACTCAACCCGCCCTCCTGATAAATATTTCGCAGCCCCTCAATTTCTCGGTTTTCCAGTTATAGACGTTTTGTGCGACTTGAAAACTCTACACAATGATTTAATATTTTTTTTGAAATACGAAACGGTTTCGGCATGATCCTTATGTTTAGAAGTTTGGCGACACGATGAGGTTTATATCACTCAAGTTAATTACTAGTTTGCTTTTACCTTTTGAATGAAAAACAACTCTTTAAATATAGTATCAATTATCAATCTTAACAATTATGTCTCCAAGATAATCATACACAGCACGTTAAATAAACTGATTGTAATTGCATACGAAATGCATKGATCACGGAAATCGAGCAGCGGAAAAGCACTTTAAAATCAAAGAAAGCTGTGTTCGCAASTAGCGATCAAAAAAAGAAAAGTTTATTTTCCGTCTTTTTTTTCCTCACAAGCGTTCCTAAAACTCGGGGTGTGGCTTATCTACGAGAGCGGCTTATACATGGGTAAATACGGTATAAGCTTTGATTGATCGAAAAAGCTTTTATGCACACATTATAAAAGATAACTTTCAAGAAAAGCTAAAAGATATTAATTTTGTTTTGTTAAGCGGGTTGCTTATAATTTTAATCATTTCCTAGAGAATGACTAAGATATAATCACCGTGACAAAGGAGCAACTTTTTGAATGCCACAAATAAACATCACATCGATTGCAAAGACTGATCTTTATAAAAAGATTTTCATTCACTTTGCTTATTTTAAAATGATTTCATGAATATACCAGTTGAAAGAAGTCAAAACCCTTTTGAAAACAATAGAAAATGGGTGTGCTTGGTCTGGTTTTTAACCTATATTTATGGTTTGAGGCACAAGTAAAAACCGTTTTGATGGTCTATTAAACCATGGTACTACTTATATTCCAATCCTCTTTTCTTTTCCAGAGAGCTTTCCTAAAGGCTTCAGAGGATGGCTGCAAGTATACCATCATCATCATCTTCATCATCATCATCGTCCACTGTGGTAAAGAACAAGACCAATTACACTAGACTGTGCAGACTTATAGTCGACATTGGATCAAGAGTGTTGAGAGGAGTCCTTGATGCCCAACTTCCCCCACCTGCTGATCTGCAAAGGCACCTCAACTCACCTGGTATACACAGTATACTGAAAACACTAAGAAGTAAAAGAGTTCTGAATACACAACAATGGTACAAGCTGTACCCACCAGCACCAGGAGTGCCATCGTCGACGACCTTCGATATAACATTGCTCTTCCTTCTCCTAAGGAATACCTGTGGTCTGACTCCACCTACTACAGGATGGAATGCTGCCCCTCTACCAGCAGATATAAGTAAAGAGGCAGACCTGGTTCGAGTAAAACAATGTCGAAATGAGATCACTGGTCACAGCCCTGTGATGGAAATTTCAGATGTTGATTTTGGAAACCACTGGGCTGAAATTGAGGCAACCTTGATAAGACTTGGAGGATTGCAGTATGAACCAGAAATCCAGCGTCTGAAAATCGAGTCCATTGACCCAGAAAATGATACCTTTTTGAATGTTCTTATTCAATCATGGGAAGAAGGTGAGGATAAAAAATTGGATGCCATTAGAGGAGAATTCAATAAACAAGGAATACTATATTCTACGTTATTCCAAGGTAAAAAATGTTTTTAAATTAACATTATATTTATAATGCAGCATGACTATTAAAGAGGTTTCAGCTTCACTGACAGTGGAACACCACCCCGTCATAACATTTACTTTTTTTGGTCGCTTCTTTGGGCAACATAATAAGGTTTCAATTAAAAATATTAATATATAATTTGAATGTTCTTATTCAATCATGGGGAGAGGGGCAGGATAATATATTCAGTGACTTTACAAGTAATTTGTATAGGTAATAGCATGTTTTGTATACCAGGCGTGAAATTTCAAAATTGTCAAACAAAATTTCATGAGCGAAACGAAATTTGTGACTAATTTTGAAATATCACAAGTAGTATTTATCCCAAATTCCACGTACAAAACATGCTATTATTTGTTTATAAAATGGTTGAATAAAATTGTGTAATTTGAAATACCACTATTAAAGCCAATAAAATTGCACAATTTTATTCAACCATGTTATAAACCAACTAAAACAACAGCATTGCATTTGCCTTATCTGTAATCATATACACCTTTTTTCAAAAACGTAGTCCTCTTAGAAAATAGTAAAAAATAGTTAATACATGTAGTTAATTTCTCGCTGAACACCAGCTGTAAATTACTGCTGACTGAGCGGACATAAGAACAGATATATTTTTTTCCAGGAACTCGCCGGTACCTATAAGGAATAGGTACCGTATATAAAGTCTTCTAAAATATAGAATCAGAAATAAATTGGTGTCATTACAATCCCGATAAATGTTTTTGGTTTCAATAGACCATTTTAACAATTTTAGTGAAAAATCATGAATATTACAAAAACGAACGGCCTAAAATTATTAAAGTTTTAGAATAATGCGTTGAAACGTCAAGATGCGCACTTAAAAACACCACAATCTACAAAGAAGCTATGACAAGGAGGTCACCACTCAACGTCACCATACCTTTATTTTATATTTGTAAAATTGTGTAAAATTTAGATTTCTTGATTTGCTTCGGAAGTAAATTTTCAACTTGGAAAAGTTACAAATTTTAGATTGTTCGAAGATGTTCTTTTCATAATGATTTTTCACTAACAACTCAATTTTGAATGGCTAAATTATCCGTGAAATCGTCCAAAAAAAAAAAAGAAAACAGTATTTGACAATTTGATTATTCAATTATTTAATTCTTAATTCCTTATTT